ATTCCTGGCATGTAAAAAGAATAAGTGAAAAAGATTCAAACATAATAATAGGATTAATTTTTTTTTTTTTACTACACTACTTATTATGCTAATCTAATTATAAACTAAAATGATAATAATAATTATTATTATTATTATAAATCTTCTTAAATATTATATTAAAAAAATTAAAATTAAAATTAAATAAATTTCTTAAATAGTTAAAAAAGTAAAAATATTTAAATAAGATATTTTTTATTGAAAAGAGATCTTAAGAAGTAATTTTTGAAAAAACCAAAGAATTTTTTTTTTACTATGAATTTTTTTAAAAAAACTATAATAATATAAAAAAATCTTTCTAAATGTATAGTTGCTTTCAAAACTTTGAGTCTACTTATTATATTTTTATTATTTCAACTTTAACAATTTTTAAATCTTTAATTATACAATCAAAAATTATAATATATATATATATTATGCCTTAATGCTTATTCTATTTCTTATATTTTTAAAAAAATATATTTATAAATAATTTTTAAAGTTTTATTATTGTTAAATATTTTTATTTTTTATTAATTATTATATGATTTATAATAATAATCCAAATTATTCAAAAGTAAAAATTTAATAAAGATAAAAATTTTTAACAAAAATAAAACTTTAAAAATTACATATAAAATTTTTTTAAAAAAATTACATGAATTTTATAATTTTTGATTGTGTAATTAAAGATTTAAAAATTGTCAAAATTGAAATTTATAATAAAATCATAGTAAGTGGGCTCAAACTTATGGAAGCAATTGTATTTTCTTTTTCGAAGCACATCCTATTTAAATACAAAATTTTTCATAGGATTTTGATGAAAGCGCATTTACAAAGATTTATATAATTTAACGCAAAAAATCAAGATATAATTTTTTCTTTTATTATTTAATATATAGTATTTCAAATTATTTATTATACTTTAATCACATTGATACCAATCTTTATACAAAATAGAATTTTCAATCGAGAAGACATACCCTGATGTATCCATTCTATAATATAATCACTCTTTTTTGATCGTCCGGAATTGATAAATACAGTATACATTAAATGAAAAGTATTTTTTAATTTGAATAGTGATTTTCAATTTTTATATCATATACATGGATTCGCCTTACATGAAAATTTTACTGATTTTAAAACGAAAAAGTTGTCGGTAAAAAAAAAAAAATTAATCCTATTATTATGTTTGAATCTTTTTCACTTATTCTTTTTACATGCCAGGAATTTACAGATTAATCTAAAAAGTTAGCATATTTTGTCTATTCGGTCAAAGATTTACATCTCAGTATTAACAAATATCATTTATGCGAATCATACTTGCGGTTATAGAGTTTCGGTATCCATGGTTTCCGAATTACTTGACTTCGATTTAGTTGATTTTGACGCGCGAGATACGTTTGCCTTTTTTGCCCTGGGTTTAGCAGGTGCTTTTGCGCCTCCTGCTTTAGATGTACGCTTCTTTTTTGTTCCACCAACCGAACTCGAAGGTGTTGTGACCCCACTTCCTTCAGTTTCGACCATTTGTGGTTCACCCTCATGCCAAAGTTCTTCAAGGGACTTATATGAGGATCCCGAAGATCCTGTTGCTGGTGCTTCCTTTTTTCTGCGTTTATTACCGCGTCCTTTTTTCTTACTTTCTTCTTCCTCGGCTCTTCGCTTAGATTGTTGTTCTTTCAGTTTTGTTTCTAGCTCGTCATCTTCAAGAAGGAGCGACACAATCTCACGTGGTTTGAAGTCAACCTGCTTGAATTCGCCACCGGATATGACAACTTTTTGAATCTTTTTTGATATTAAAAAAATCAATCTTGTGTAATGATTCATTAAACCAAGGACAACAGGATATTAAATTAACAAACCTCATCTTTCTGCTTTGCGCGTTGGAGAATTCTCTCTTCTATTGTACCTTTTGTAATCAGTCTATATACGGTGACTTGTTTAGTTTGACCCAAACGATGGGCACGGTCCATAGCCTAAATAAGAAACACCACGTTAGTAAGAAATATTGACTCGAACGATTACGAAAGGTTGTATTGAATACTAGCCTGTTGGTCAACGGTAGGGTTCCAATCACTATCGTAGAAAATAACGGTATCTGCAGCAGTTAGGTTAATGCCTAGACCGCCGGCGCGTGTGCTTAACAAGAAAACAAAGATTTCGGACCTTACAAAAGAAAAGTCAATGTTATCATTAAATTATAAAAATGACAAATGTTTAAAGAAAAAAATTTTTTACCTAGTTTGCCAATCTTCGACCATATCGCGGCGGTCGTGTATTTTTGATGAACCGTCAAGTCTCAGGTATTTGTATTGTCGATACGCAAGATATTCTTCCATTAAGTCTATCATGCGTGTCATCTGGAAATAAATTAGCACACGATGACCACCAGCTTTGAGTTCTTTAAGCAATTCGTCTAGTTTTGTTAATTTTCCCGAATCCAATACTAATTTTTTAAGCGCTAAAAATATAAATATATATAAAATTAATAATTATTGTTAATCTGTTTTGCACAGAGATTCATGATCATGAAATTTACGTGGTACACGCATGTATGAGAATCCGCAATCTTTTCGATACGTCTTTCCGATCATTCTTTCTCCAGACTGAGTCAATAATCGAACGACATCACTTTTCATTCTCTCCTCTTGAGGCAATAATTCGATAATTCCAAACAGTGCAGTTCTTATAGACGAATCAAACAGGAGTCTTTCTTGATCGTTGTAGAAACATTTATCTACACATACTGGTTGAATTGGAGGGGCAATGGCCTGCATATAAAACAGAAAATTTATAAGCTATGTGTGTATATACTAGATATGAAATATAATAATTTCGCACGCTCCTAACCTTGGGCATATAACACATGTCTAAAACCACCAATTCATATTGAGTCGTGTTTTCAAAAATATTTGTTAATTCACTTAATATTGGTGAACTTTCGACATTCATGGGAGAAAGTGTTGGAGCCGTCTCGCTAATCAAAAATCTAGCATATGTATTAATCGAACTATTTGAATAACTGAAAAATAATGATTTAAAAAGTTAAATTTAATCCTCTTTGCGAATGTGGAATTGTTAAATAGCAATAAAAATAAAACCTTTCGTTGTCTTGCGTCATATAAAATCTTCTTCGATATCGACATGTTCTTTGCGAAAGGTGAAAGATCCAGCGCTGTATCAAGTGTCCGAAGAATATATTTGAAGCCTCTCCAGGAGTTGTGTCCACAAATTTCAGAAAGGTAAAAGTGTCTAATAACACCAAAGATGAGTTAATCAATCTTAAATTAAATTTATTGACGATTGATGCACTCACCGCTTTGTTCATCATTCAATGATTGATTAATGTAGTCCGGTCGCCAAATGTTCATCATATGGTCAAGAATATTGGTACGAGATCCGGCTTGAGATTCGTCACCAGGAACATTCAATAAACCTAAAGAAAAAGTGAAATACACAAAAATTTAGAGAATAAAACGCTGAAGTTCATAACCAACAGAAATTGCTTTTATTACCTCCACTGCGATAGATCGTCTTCGGAATTTCATAAGTTATATAGTTTCTAGAATTGTATGGAAGATACAAAGACTCTTCCCGTGATATCAACCAGGTAGCACTGTAATGACAGAAAGAAAGAGGAGATACCACATCTGCTCTTTCAAATAACTCTGGATGATTGCAAACCTTACGAAATTGCATAACCAGGTTCATTAAGCTGTCAACGTTATCGTTGTCGGGCAACGTTGCAGCCTTCTCCAACAATTCTGCTACTGAAATTTTTTCTCGAAGTCCACGGTACAGTATGCGTTGTCTTGCAGTCAAATTACAGAAAACCTCCCTCTCGATTTTTTCGCCAAGTTCGTTTTGAACGTTTTTCTTAACTCGACGCAGCATAAATGGTTTTAAAATCATGTGTAGTCGCTTAAGTTGATGCTCATTTAGTGAACCTTTATTTTCTGCATGACTTTCGATATCCTTAGAGAACCATTCGCTGAACTCTTGGTGAGAATCAAAAAGCGTAGGCATGATAAAATGCAAAAGGGCCCATAGTTCTTGCATACTGTTTTGAATAGGAGTACCCGTTAACAAGAGGCGATTACGGCATTGAAAACCAAGAAGTGTTTTCCAACGAGCACTGCAAGGGATACAAATAATTTAATAAGAAATTACGTAGATTAGAAGCTCGACATCAATCGCTTGAAAATTTATAATTGACAAAATGTACCTAGATGAACTTTTAATGGCTTGTGCCTCATCCAAAATCATGTATTGCCACTTTGTTCTCGCAAAATAACTTTGATCTTGAACAATCTATAATATTCATAATACAAAAACCTTAATCATTTCGTAACAAACCAGAACATGAATTACAAATTTCACATACCAACTGATAACTGGTGATAACGACATGGAATGGTGCATCTTTATTAAATATTAAATTTTTTTTATTTAGAGATTTTCTTAATATAACTCGGTCTTTAGGTGTCCCCCAATACGGCAAAATCTGAAAAATAAATTAAAACTTTTTTTTTAGAATGCTAAATAAGAACGAACAAGTAAAATTAAATATTCAATATATATATATATATACTTTGAAGCTAGGAAGAAATTCTGCAATTTCCTTTTGCCAATTATGAAGGGTGGATGCGGGGGCGATGACCAAAAATGGACCCCATATATTATGAGTCTACATCAAACATTTTAGTAAGTAATTATATGCTACCAAAAATCACCTAATATACATGATTTTGACCTTACCTCTGCAAGATGCGCCATAAGAGATATGGATTGGACAGTCTTCCCTAAACCCTAATAAAACAACACAATTGTTATTTACATCGAGTGACAGGTAATGCGAGATAGTTTAGTTTCTTACCATTTCATCGGCCAAAATTCCATTAATACCCTATTAAATAAACAGGTTTCAATAAAATGTAATGGTCCAAAACTAACATTACGACATAGATTAATGTAAATACCTGCTCATAAAGATTAGCAAGCCAATTTAGACCTTTCAATTGGTAATCTTTCAAAGTGACTTTCACCAATATTGACGGCTGTTTAATTTCAGACATTGATGGCATACTAGACGGATTTTGGAAATTCATTTGATCCACTACACAAAAAATTTACATGTTATGAAAACACCCTGAGTAATAACAGTACGATGAAATAGAGTGAAAAAAAATTTACAGTCTTCGTTCGAAACTTCGATGTTTGTCGATTTACCACTTCTATCGCCATCAAAGTCACGGGTGTGTTTCTTGACTTGCGCAAGAGCATTTTTTGCACTTGCACGTGCTTTTTCTCTAAGCGCATCTTCATCCTCTATAAGTAAATCGAGGAATCTTCAATACCATAATCCATGTACTTAAATATTTCAGAGATTGAGAATATACCTTCATCAAAATCGATGTCTTCAAAAGAAGTAGGTGCAACAACACCTCCATCAACCTCTAGATTTAAATCGGTAGGCGAGGACTCCGTGCCTTGATCACTGGTTCCTTGTTCACTGGCTGCTGCTTCGACTTGTGTCACGTTTTCAGCATTTTCCTCTGCATTTTGAGCTTTTTTTTTTTTAAAAAAAAAAAAGACGACGACAAAATAGTCATGCATTAATGCTTATCCAGATGCTAAAATGCCACCATAAATTTATTAAACGCACTTCCAATTTTTTTCCCGACAAAATGACTATACAGTTCGGTTTGCGTAATGAGAAAGTTAAGTTTTCGTGCCTGCCTCTTTGCCTCACGCATTTCCTCTTCAACTCTCATTCTTTCTAGGGCCTCCCTTTCTGCTTTCTTACGTAACTCACGTTCTTCTTTTTCGTTACGTTTCCAAAAGAAGAGCATCTAGAAAGTTAATACCGAGAAAATTGATTAGTTATGAATTAGATAAAATCCCTTAAATATTAAATAAGATACCTGTCGCATGGCCTGCCTAGCCCTCGTCTGAATATCTTTTGGAGATTTACAAGATTTACATGCAGCTTTGCGGGCCTCTTTTTGACAAAGAAGAGCAATCTTACGACAATTGTTTAATCGTGAAGTAGTCGTCTGAATAACAATCTTGTTCATCTATTATAAATAGCTTGATTTATAAGACAGTAAAATAAAGATGAACGAATAATCAGAATCAAGTTTACATACCCTTGGTATAGCGTTACGAACAATGTCTTTCCATATTCTCCGTCTCTCTTCTGATTCAAGAGCTTCTCTCTGCTTTTGAATTCTTGTACTAAAAGTACGTTTTTGATCATCATTTCCACCCTAAAAAATAATACACATATTTATATTTGCGAGAAATGCTTTAAAAAAACTAGCAAGAAAATTCGTACTCACTTCGGCATCGACTGAATAATCAAAAGGTGGATTACGACTCATTCGTTTAATATCCATCTTGTGTCTAATTCCACGAATACTCCTATTATGATTCTCTTTATCGAATATTCGATTCTCACTGATATGACACGTGAAGCGAGTCGAAACTTTTCTACGAAGAATGTCCTTCTTTATCTGGGAGACAATAAAATAAAAGTTAAGGGTCAATACTAGAGAATTAATATTATGCATGTGTATCAATCATTTCTACTTACTCGACATCTCCGTTCATATTCATCAATTACACGCTTCTGACGTTTGTATATCTCCACCATATAGTTTACAAGTTCTTCACTAAATCTTTCTTCTTCACCAATATCAGTGTCACTTTCGGAGCTGGAATCACTTGATTCGCTAGACCTGCGTTTTGTCTTCGACTCCATAACACTATCCGCAGACGAATCCGATGAAAGACTAGCAGCTCGACGTTCTATTTCTGAAATATCAGGGAATAATGATTTTAGATTCTTTATTTTATTTGTTGTTCTCGACTAATTCGTCATCATCGTTTTACGATAATACGCGCGCTTTATTTTAGATTACCAAAAATATATAGAAGAATTGGGAAACTCACGGTTGGTTTGAGGAAACTGTAAAACTTGAGACATGAGGTTAACTTTTGATGTGGTATCAGGTTCTTGGGAAGCACGAGTTGAAGAAACGCTTGGCGGCCGAGAACCAGAATTAGTCCTTAATTTCTATAAAATATAAAAAAAGGCCGGAAAGTAATGACATATATAAGTAATTAATAGTCGAAAATGTGTAGCGGTAATAACGGTGTTCAAACTCACCACAACCAACCCATTTCCAGGTTCAGGTATTTTGCGAGGAGGAGGGGGAACAATCATACTTGGACTTCTTGGCCCTTCTTCAGAGCTTTCTCCTTCAGATTGATCGGATACAGCTAAACTTGCATCGGTATTTGCATCCGAGATAGACGCTTCGCTTTCTTTTTCATCTGCACTGTCTGTTGCTTGAGTTTGAGTCAAGTTAGATCTACCACCTCTACTGCCTAAAGCTCCTTCACCATAATTATTATTGCTAGAATCTTTTTGCGGTTTCTGAAACGAATAATCAGTATCATTCGTATCTTTACTCAACAATCCCGAAATAGACATTACTGGAGGCGGACGAAGTGGCTATTTTTTTTTTTTTTAATTGAATACCACAGAAAATCCATGATTTAAAAATAGAAATAAGAAAATTTAAAAGATCAATTTGCTGACATATACCTCTTGCGAAACAGCATTTTGATTTACATTAGGATGAAAGAAAGTTAATGTTGAAGGAGCCGAAACTGATGATGCTATATTTAAATTGGTTAAGTTAATAAAGCGACAGCCTTAATATTTTTTTGATATTTTCCTGACGTACCGTGATCCAATTTGAAAGGTGCTGCAGGCAACTATGTAAAAAAAAAATACAATTTTGAAGACAGTATGTGTGCGATTAGATTATAGAAAAACATATACGTGAAAAAAAAAAAAAGTCGTGTCGCGTTATGAATATTGTGATACGTACTTGTCGTGTAGGCTCAGTGTAATCCCAGGAAGGGTTAGTGCTATATGGGGTTAAACGTTGTATGGGAGTAATCGAGGGTTGAAGGGGGTGAGATAGAGCAGGAGGATTTGAATAATCGTTATGGCTATGTCGGTAATGCGGGCTATTAGATTGTGAGGTGTAAGAGAAGGTAAGCGATTGAGGGTAAGGTGCCGCGTGTGAAGAAGATAAAGGTGGTAATGAGAAGTGACTGGCTGAATGGGGCAACGGTTGATCTTCCGAATTCAATAAGTGATTTAGATTGTAAGAAGAGTTCCTGTTAGAAGGAGGTGGATCTTGTGGTTGGTGGTCCGAAGAGTAACGAGATGAGTGCGCGCGGTCTCTGCTAGAAGGGTAATTATATGAACTCGACATGATTTATCTGTAGAAAGTTAAGATGGATTCTTTAAAACTGCTAAAGTTACAGTTAACCTTTCTCTCGTACTTTGTAATTTTGATTTTCGAAGACATGTGCAGTTTTCATATTTTCATGGTTTTTTATATTGATGCGGGTAGTGATACGACGAGAGTAATAGTAAAGTAATCATATAAACATTATCATAACTAACTGATATGATTGCCAACTGCATGGTACTTTCACGGTAAGTGTGACTGCATTCGAACTTCGAACTCAAAAAAAAAAAAAAACTCTGAATTTAAAGTATAAATTAAATAATTATTTTAATTCTGATACTGCATCATAATATATTACATCCTACGACTGTAAATCTTATCTCGTGTGTGTCTTTCTCCGTTCTGTCATTCATAAAAAAAATTTTGTTGTTTAAGTCACTGTGTTTCGAGCATTGTTTTTTTTTTTTCTTAAAAACATTAAAATAGTATATATTAACCAATGATCAAAGTAGTTCCCACCTTTTTATCATTGTTGGATCGGAAGGAATAATTAATTGTAGATCTATACTCTAAAAAGAACCATTTAGTCCATCAAAAAACTTATCAAAGAAACCATATACCAAGCCACATATTATAATTAAAATAACAAATTCTTTACTTTTTAATAAAACTTATTATTAATATTTATAATTATTATTTTCTATTTGTAATTATACTATTAAAATGTATTATAATATTATTTAAAAAAAAAAAAAAAAAACTCTTTCCACAAATCCCTCAGATCCTTAGAAATTTCCTTTTTAGGTAATATACCCAAGGAAAGAGATAACATATACAACTCAAGACATATACTCTCACAACACTAACATACAAGAGACATCTTAGCACAGAACAACACTTCGTGTATAGTTTTAGTCTGGTGATCATTGAGAAAACACAACATATATCAACAACCTTAGCATTTTTCTCTTTCCTAAGAAGAAGGAAATAAGTCAATATAAACTGATTCACAGTTAGAAAAGGGGAGTCAATATCAACTTCACAAAGCTTGCATCTTTCTTGATACTACAAGAAATCTCAAAGCAAATAGGTTTGCTCAATAAATAAAGCAAATCTTAAATCCCTCAAGATCCAGAAGGATATCAAAGCTTTCCAAGGTCTAAACAGCCTAACGTATATACCCCATTGCTATACATATCAAAACACTTCACCAAAATAGCGTGAACATGTATACGTGTAGAAAGCTGTTGTCAAAATAAGTTTGACAAAAATCTATCACAACAGCACAACAAGAATGACTAAATTTGATAAGATTAACGATCACTACTATCACAACAGAAAGTGATCAACATAAACAAAGTGTCAGGGGTCTGTAAACACAACAACAAGTTAGTGTAAATAGGTAAACAATACTAGACAAAACAGAATACTCAACACATGTCTAATTAAAACAAGATCAAGACACATAGTAAAATAGGAGAATAGCTAAAAACAACAAGCAATATACGTAAAAGGTTTTTCTGTCTTACGTGACAATATCAATACTATATGATCCACTCCTATTATTATTTATCATATCATGTGCACAATGAACAAAATTGAAAAGATTCTATAAATAGTAGATAAAAGAGAGAAGAATATTATCGACACACTAATTCGACTTACAAAAAAGCATGATGAATATAATGAGCTATGGGCTATACAACAAATAGTCAAGCAAAGACTGACTACTACTCAATATGAAGAGAGAATATCAGCTCCAGCTCTAAAAACTTGCACAATACTTGATAGCATTATTGCAAGTATCTTAGAAATAGACAAAACTATGTTCCATAAGGAACGGGTTTTAATCCAACATATAACTTATCTATAGTAACTAGGGAAGGGCAAAGAAACAGACCTGTTTCAACTATATATTGAGGATAAATTCCTGGATATGATTGAAGAAAAAAATCTGAGTAAAATAAAAACTCTGTCCATGGAAATTGTTGCCCCTATAAAAAATGAATCAACATTGGATAATGAAATTATAATGTCCAATACTTATGAACAAGAGGAGATAGAGGAAGACATGGAACTTGAAGCCTTTAGAGAAAAGATTCAAGCCCAAAACATAAGTGAATGCAGCTTATATAGTACAAGAAATAGAACTACAGGTCCTACTTCGAATCTATATTATATAAGCAAGAAAGGAGCGTATTGATTAGGGGCCATGACAGCAAACATTCCCAGAAGTTCAAAAGAAAAAACCAAGGCCTACCTATGTAATGTCCTAAAGCTATTTCAGGATAAGCAAAATCTCCTCTGGAAAAACTTTATTAATAGAAACAAGTAGTTGGTTATCTATTTTAAAGAAGAAGAAGACCTCATTAAATATCTAGAAGAGGTAAATAGAAAGGAGGAAACTTTTAGTCTCTAGCAACTAGAACCTGACATAAGAGAATATATAAGATATCCATCAGTTGATAAAATGGAGAAGAAAATATTCTGAAACCATAATCTAGAAGAAGGAGAAGATATATGACATGTGAGTTTGATAAATATGGATCGTAAATTCTCTAGAAGCTATATAAAAGAACACCTCAAAAGATACAGAGTTGTCAAGAATATTGATATCTATAAAGTAAAAACTAAACTCAGAGCAAAAGCATACCTTAAGTGACATAAGTATCTCAAAACCAATCCAGAAAAAATCTGAATGATACCATTTGGAACAGAAACAATAAGGGTAATTTTCACTAAAGAAGAGCTAACAGACCGAGAAATAAATGAAGTTCTGATTGAACGAAACAAGCATTCAATTAGACTCTTAGGTACAAACAGAATATTTTCGAGTTTGATAACTAGAGCCCTTATTGGTATAGAAGCTAAGGCCTGTTATATATCAAAAAATCCTCACACATTGAAAAAACAAAACTTTACAGTAGTATGCTTTACAACAAAAGAAGCCATGATGAGAGCCTGTAAGCAACATATTTTTTTACAAGAACTGAGACTATCTTGGAGTGTAAAAGTTCTATTAGAAGAAACTACAAAGAGTCACAAACCTAAAACTAGAAGGTTTAGAAATAGAATGGAGCATACAAGGGTAAAAATAGATATAGAGCCAGTGACAGATTCACCATCAGACAATGAATCAATAAGTTCGACCACAACCACAGAACAGAGATGGACAAATAATCAAAGAAGAAGATATCAGGGTCAAAACAACAATGATTGACAAAGACATCCTAGATCCTTGAACCATTCAGCAATAGGAAGTAATAGGGAACCTCTTAGAAATAACAGAAACTTGTCAGAAGGTCAAAGCAGGAGACAACATGATCCTGAACCAATAAATGAGGATGATCCATTAAAGTTTATATTAACAAATCTGAAAAAACTGAGTGGAAGAATTGTCAAGCTCAAGAGTAGTTCAAGATCTAACTGACAAGGAAGAAAGGGGCTAGAGTGAACAAATCACTCCTAAAATGGAGCACCAGTTGAGCAAGATAGGGAAAAGAAGAAAGAGTCTGATTCTTCCTCAACAAGAACTTATAATAAGGGCAAAGAATGAATGGTAGCTCTAGAGGAAGCAATAGAGCAATATGATAAATTAAATTTAAATGCATTTTAATAAAATGAACATAGTATATTTTTAAGTAGCAGAAATGAACATAGAACAACAATAGATAGAGAAGAGAATGATTAAGAGATTCAAACAAGAGTAGTAAGAATTGGCACATATAACATCAGAGGTGCTACAGACAAAACAAATCAACAGAGCCTGATTGAAGAGATACTAGAACAGAGAATAGGTACAGTATAATGGGCATATGTGAAACAAAGCTAATTCAAACCAATGCAAAATGGGTTTTCGACAAACAAAAAGTTTATAAACACTTCTACAGTGTCAACAAAGACACACCATTCAGAGCAGGGGTAAGTCTTCTAATTAAAAAAAACCTAGAAAAGAAAGTAACATCAATAGATGAAAATGAAGGTTACATAATCACAACCAACTTCCTCATGAAAAAGAAAAAGATCTGTATTATCCAGATCTACTTTCCATTAGACAAACACTGATGCAAAAAAATACAAGAGAGGCTAACTAACCTAATTAAAAAAAGTACAGACAGAGATTTCATACTATAGTAATGGATGATTTTAATGCTACCTACAATCTATCAGAAGATAGAATGGTATTCTTCAAGGCTAAGTTCAAACCTTCTTGGTATCCAGAAAT